ACCTGAGATTTCATCTTTGTGCTGTCTAATTGAGAAAAGAGGGATTACAAATAAACAAGTAATTAGGTCACAATTAGGGAATAATGTTCTATGCAAATACCATTTTATGTAAATACCTCCATCTAGTGGTAAATTATGTGTAATACAATAAGACATTTTAGAGCAGTTTTTTTTTTTAAACAAATAAATACATAATACAACTAACAGAATTATTGTGAGTAGTAAAAGGTAATAATGTAACGTAATAGAAACTAAATGCTTTCCATACATTATTTTACACATTTATGATATTATTTTTTTACAGTATAAATGGGGTGTTTGTACGTGAAAATATATAGCTGCCAGAGCTGGGTAGACTACTACAAATTGTAGTCCGTTACGGATTACAAATTACATGACAAAAATTGTAGTTAGTAACATAATCCATTACATTACACTACTTTAGATTACTTTTAGAGTACCTTTGACCTAACTCGTTTGATTTAAATAGGATAATCTTGTACCATATTGATATAAAAATACAAAGAGTAAGAAAATAATTAAATCAAGGTTTCCCAAACTGGGGTTCGTAAAAGAACTGCAGGGAGTTTGTGAGTTTAATGAAAAGCTAATAAATTAATTAAATCATAAAAAAATGCCAAATTAAAATAAATAGTTTAAAAATACCATCAACCAACACTTACTACAGAATCAAATTGTTATTTGTTTACCGCATGTCATTTGACCATTAACCAACAACCGTGAAAATATTAAAATATTTATTTTAAAATCTCAGGGGTACTTAAAAAAAAAAAAAAATAATGTGAATTTGTGCATTTTAATGTGTTTGAAACACACACACACACACACACACACACAAAACTTCCAAAGACATAATAATACATAATTAAATAACCTACTGAGTGATAATTTGAATAAAAATCAATTTGTTCAGTTGATGCAATGTTGAAACACTTCTTAAACCTGAAATGATTTTTGTAAATCCAGTGGTCAAATGCTGTGTAGCCACCTTGACTGGTCTTTGTGTGAATGTCCACAATACAGGAAGACTTTCCGAGTGTATATAAGCGGTAGGCAGTTTTAGAAAGGAACATTTAAAAGATGAAAAAGA